GTAAACACAAGAAAGTTTAAAGTTTTAATACGACGCCCTTTTCAATAGGGCATTCACGAATATAAAGAAGAATAAGAAGAAGAAGAATAGGAATAAGAATAAGAAGGGCGTTGACGTTTTAAAGTTGTCTCGCAAGAATGAATTTTGGCGAGGCTCCTCTCGAGCACGTATTCCCGACGAGGTGCACCCTTATCGTCGCATTTTAAATACGATAACGTTATATCTGGTGATTCTTTGGGTTGAACGCAGCCCCGAAGCACAAAGGCGAAGAATTTCCTGTGGAAAGGCAGCGGTGGCGTCAGTGGTGGTGATGGTAGTGGTGATGGTGGTGGTGGTGGTGGTGGTGGTGGCACCGCCGGATTCGACAGAAACGGCGAACATCCAATCTCCGAGTAGCTTTGATCGATGACACGCGGACAAGTGGAAGAGACGAGTAAAGGTTCCGTAGGAGTGCGCGAGGGGGTTGATAGTGTCGGTGGGTGAGATTGCCTTGTCACCTTGACAAATGGTTGGAGAACGAAAGGTACCAGCCGAACGTTCAAACGCCCTCCGCAAAGGTCCTGCCAATCCCTTAAATTTTCTTCCTTCTATTTCCCTTCCTTCACATATATATGTATATATGTATATATATATATATCTTTCTTTCTTTCTTTCTTTTTTTTTCTCTTTTTCTTGCTCGGCACCTCACCTGCACGTCTCCCACGAGACCCTCAAAGACACCCGCCTTGCCACCCTTGGTGTCTATTAGTCATTAACTATCGACAACCCTGGCAAATAGCTGCATAGTTAAATCAGCCCCTTCGAAAAAGTTCCTTTCATTCAGAGGGAATTTCTAAATCAATTACTTATATATCGTTGTCGTTTTTTTTTTTTTATTTTTGTTTTGTTGATTCATCATTTATCCTTACAAGGTGTGATAAAAAGATTCCGAGATAATGTGTTTTTCCATTTCTTAACATAGATTTTGTTCATATATTTTATTTTATAAGTTTTTATTTTTTTATAATTTTTTTTATAAATTTAGCATGTAAAGTTCAGAAAATATCAGAGAGTGCAATGCTGTAAGCTGTGCATCTTTGCAATTTTTTTGAAAAGTTCAGGTAATTATTTTTTATACTTATAGTAAGCAGATTTTAATGATTTTTATATTAAATTAAAGTACACTCTTTTGTCTACGCGTAGAATACAATATCGAGTAGTAAATCAATCTGGAAAGGTTCATAAAATGGCAAAGAATGCGATGCTGCAAATTTTTCCTACTTTGCCATTTCTTTGAAAAGTTTTGGTTAATATTTTTTATACTTTTAGCAAATGGATTTTAATGATTTTTATATTAAATTAAAGTACACTCTTTTGTCTACAATTAGAGTACCATTTCAAGTTATAAATCGATTCGCAAAGGTTCATAAAATGGCAAAGAAAAATTGGCATGTCAGGCATTGTTCACATTGCCTAAGGCCCGGCATTGTTAACATTGCCGGGGGAGGTTTGGGACCTAGGCCGGTAATGTTAACAATGCCTGGCCATCAGGCATTGCTCACATTGCCTAATCCGCAAACTTTTCTTTGCCATTTTATGAACCATTGCAAATTGATTTATAACTCAAATTAGTATTCAGCTTGTAGATAAAAGAGTGTACTTTAATTTAATATAAGTTTCATTAAAATCCATTTGCTAAAAATATAAAAAATATTTGCCGAAACTTTTCAAAGAAATGGCAAAGTAGGAAAAATTTGCAGCATCGCATTCTTTGCCATTTTATGAACCTTTTCAGAATGATTTATTACTCGATATTCTATTCTACGCGTAGACAAAAGAGTGTACTTTAATTTAATATAAAAATCATTAAAATCCATTTGCTAAAAGTATAAAAAATATTTACCTGAACTTTTTAAAAAAATTGCAAAGATGACCAATTTACAGCATTGCATCTTTGACATTTTTTGAAGTTTACATGCTAAATTTATAACTCAATGTGGTATTCTACGCGTAGACAAAAGAGTGTACTTTAATTTAATATAAAAATCATTAAAATCCATTTGCTAAAAGTATAAAAAATATTTACTAAAACTTTTCAAAGAAATTGCAAAGATGCACAATTTACAGCATTGCATCTTTGACATTTTTTGAAGTTTACATGCTAAATTTATAACTCGATATGGTATTCTACGCGTAGACAAAAGAGTGTACTTTAATTTAATACAAGTTTTATTAAAATCTATTCACTTTTAGTATAAAAAATATTGACCAAAACTTTTCAAAGAAATAGCAAAGTTGTACAATGACTGATTTCCGTCTTTAACGGTGACATATATATATATATATATATATCCTGAGAAATGATTCGATGGTTATAACTATCCGTTAACAGTTACCCAACTTGTTCTTAAGCACGTTTCATTACTTCGGTGTTTACCACCCGACCGAGTTACGCTCCATTTACGGTAAGAATATGCGATCGTCATTCGACACTGTCCGTCATCCTAACTCATAGCACCGAATACGCCCGTCACTTTGCGTTCTCCACTTTCCCGGATAACGTAATGCCGACTTTGACGATAACTCGCCAACTAGATTGAAACGATTTTAATTAATTCTCGATGAGCCTGATTACTCTACATTCTCGTTAGAATAAATAAATATAATTATGTGTGTGTGTGTGTTTGTTTGTGTGTGTAACGATCAATTTTGAATCCCTTTTACAACCTTCTACTTTTTCTTCTTCTTTTCGTCCATTTTTAAATTAAAGAACATTCATGACAAAGCAAGAATCTTCGAGTAATAATAATCTTATCGATTAATCGTAAGACGATACGAATAATAAGAATTTTGATAAATTGACTTCCTCGTGTAATAAGAGTCAAAAAGAAAAAAAAAGAAACAAGAACTTGTCTTCGGAGTTTCGTTTTACGTTGATAAGTATTCCGTAGGAATTAATTCTTGTATCAGCACTTTCATAGTTTTTATTCGCTTTAACGAATTAAGTTAATATTTGTTTAATCGTTAGAGAGAGACAGAGAGAGAGAGAGAGAGAGAGAGAGAGAAAGAGAGAGAAGGAAACAGAAAGCTGTCGGATTGAAAAATCACATTCCTGGAATTCGCATTCCCACACGCGTGACAATCGTGCGTGACAATCGTGCGTGACAACGTGCGTGATTTCCACCCTCGACGTGCTTGCATACCCCCAATGGACAGATGGGGTTCTCACGAGACCCTTTTCGCGTTACCACCATACATCTTGTTATTATCTTCTTTCGACTTCGTTAGGGACGTTCAAAACCCGAAAGACTTATGCTTGACTTTGAAATTAAAATGTATAATAACAATTTTATGACTATTTTCATTTCATTATTAATAATTAACAGATTCGTTATTATTTATAAAATATTAGATAGAATAATTTGAAATGTATAAAATGTATTATTAAATTGAAAAATATTAATATTATTTAACGAGTTTATTAAAGTAAGACAAAAAATCATGAAATTAAATTAAACAATTCGAACGAACAAATAATATGAAATATCGAAATGAGTATCGTATTTTTAGTCAAGAAAATTAATGGACCGAAATAAAAATAAATCAAAAAAGTGTTCATTCGAGAAATAGTATTTATATATATTCGCGTGAGATAAGAAGAAAAACATAATTATATAAAGAAATATATACACTTTCGTATATCGTCAATCACAACCCTCGCGATTTAACGAACGACTGATTTAAAGAGCCCGAACTAAATAATATCCCTTTTTATTTGATAGGAGAAGTCAAAGAAGGGAAAATATATAATAAAACGAAAGAGGGAGACGATTGGAAAGTACCTTTCGATCGTATATATCTTTCTTTACATATAGATATATTGTACATATATGAGAGAGATACATATAAGTATATCCGTATATTTACGTACCCAACTACGAGAGTGTAAAAATGTCGGGCCACGACATTGACGGCGTCGTTGCGATCGGCTTGACAACGGACTCGAACTCGTAGCGGTCGCTAGAATGAGAGAAAGAAACAAGGAAAAAAAAAAAAAAAAAAAAAAAAAAAAAAAAATAATAGCGGACGAGATAGAAACCATGATGGTTGATCAACTTGGTTCGTCGACGAGATAATGTATCGGTATGTCGAGCCGTGAAAGCTCGACGTATCCCGCCTGCGGTGTTTTATTATTACGCTTTTGCGATATNAAAAATGTCGGGCCACGACATTGACGGCGTCGTTGCGATCGGCTTGACAACGGACTCGAACTCGTAGCGGTCGCTAGAATGAGAGAAAGAAACAAAAAAAAAAAGAAAAAAAAAAAAAAAAAAAAAAAAAAAAAAAAAGGAGGAAGAAAGTCGAATAAAACGCATTCCCTTGGTTCGTCGACGAGATAATGTATCGGTATGTCGAGCCGTGAAAGCTCGACGTATCCCGCCTGCGGTGTTTTATTATTACGCTTTTGCGATATGCAAGAAGAGAAACAAATAATAAACGTATCGACACTTTCTGTAGTATGCCGAGCACGAACTAACCAACCCAACGTATATACGAGTACGTATGTATGTAAAAATAAAAAAAAAATACACACACACACATAGGTAATATTTGTATTTATAGATACGTATATGAAGTTATACTAGTTAGTATAAACCAGTCTATGAGTAGCTTCGCACCTTGTATATCTCTTCGTGTCCCTCTAACTCCTGTCAATTCGTTTATATTCCTGTCCAAGCAAGACAACTTCGATAATATTCTTTTTCATTCTCAATATTGTCTAGTCTCGATAACTTTAAAGTGTTTTTTGCAAATCTACAATTTGGATCGTTGCGTGTTATTTTACTTTTCTTTTCTTCTTCTTCTTCTTCTTCTTCATCATCCATCCACCCCCGCGTTTCTAATCGTTACGGTTTTTCGTTTGTATTTATAGACACATCATATATCCATAATACATTTTATATCTACAAATATATAACAAAAGTATATTTCGATATACATATATATATATACTTTACCATATTATTGTTTGTTTGTTTCAGGTCTGAAAGTGATCGAAAAATGTTGAACCCAGAAACCGGTTGTTATTCGGAATCCGTGCGAGCATGGTGAGTAAACCTCTCTCTCTCTATTTTGGATTAGAATTAATGAAATACATGAGTTTATTCTGCTTTTTTTTTTCTTTTTTTTTTTTTCTTCATACTAACGATTTATAAAGATCATCTTTTTTAATACGTGTTCTAACAAGGCAGGAGAAATAGTTATAAAGAAAAAGAACAATATGGTGACAAGAAGAAAAAGAAGGAAACGAATAAACAAGTTGAGGATTAAATTGATTCGAGGATAATGTGATTTCACAAAGAAAAAAAAAAAGAAAAAAAAACAAAGATAACACGATCTTATCCTTTAATCGTAGGGTGAAATATTTCAAATCGCGTGACGTTTAATCCTCATCCTCATAGGTATCCTCATTAACGCGTAATCTTAATTAGGTACAAAACGGCAGCGCATGCATGCCGCCACCGACAAGGAGTAGTTGTTACGTGTACGTTCAACGTTTGTAGTAGAAGCAAGCTTGTACTTAGGTAGGACAACATATATGTAACATGGTTCTCTAATTCTGTACGACGTACGGTTCCGTTGCGTGTTAACAGCAGTAGCAAGCAACAGCAGCAGCATGCTGGTAGTAAAGGTATACTCTTAACACGATTCTACCTTTACGCACGGTTTCACGCTCGTGTCTTACACGGTTCGTTGAGCAAACGATTTTTCACCCCTTTTTTTTTTCTTTGCGTTATAATCGAAATAATTTTCGATCGATTGATTGGACGGACTCTCATATACATAAGTTAATTTGAACTTTTTTAACGCGTGTATTAAAAACTTTCGTTTAAATAGAAAATTATTTTATTTCATACTATTAACAAAAATTATTCTTATCATCAATATTCGATTGTTCAGAAAATTGAAGCTAATTTTTCAAGGAACGCGTACGAAGACAATATTACATATATATTTAAAATTAGAATTATTATTATTATTATTATTACAATATAATTGTATCGTTAAACAAATGTTATCACATAGAAATAATTTATAATAATGAATAACATTGTTTAAGGGTTTATAGGTCACATACCAAAAATGTGAATATATTTTTATGATCGTAATATTTACCCTTGTTTCACTTTTAAAAGGGCAGTTTTATTTGTCGTAGCATACTGTCGTCATGCTTGCAGCATGTTGTTCTCTCTCTCTCTCTCTTTCTTTCTTTCTTTCTTTCTTTCTTTCTCTTTATCTCCCTATTTTTTTTTATTCTTTCTTTCTGTCTCGTATCCAACGTTCGTCTTCTCTCTTTCTCTCCATCCTTTTTACTTTTCTCCTTTTTGTTGATCTCACCACCCGTAACGGCATCCTCTCACCTTCTCGTAATTTACGATCGTTTCTTGACCGTAACTCTTTTTTGCATAATTCTCAGCAGTGTGTCCCGAGCGGCGGGCACACTGCTTGCTTGCTTGCTTGCTTGCTTGCCGTCCCCTCAAACGAGTAATAGTATACCAAGCTTCTCGAGTATTTTTATCGTCTATACGACATCCGTGAAATTCGTAAAATACGAACGGTCATCTTCGCAGATCGATCGTCGTAATTGGTTCTAGTAATTTACTACTACTTTAGTAATAATAGTAATAGTAGTAGTAGTAGTAGTAGTAGTAATCGTCATCGGATGAAAGTTTAGAAAGAAAGATACGATGAAATCATTTTTATAACACCAACAGAGATCGTTTCTAATTTTCCTTCCCTTGAAATTTTTTTCTCGCGCAAAAGAATCTATCGCGAAAAAAAAAAAACGAAAGAAACTCATAGGAAAAGAAGTAAATACGTATTTGCGACGATTGCTATGACGATGATGACGAGGAAACGAAGAGGAACGATGGGGGATGGAACGGGGTAAGAAGGGGGGTAGGGGGGGAGGAGGAGGAGTAGTCACGCGCTTAGACGCACGATTATTTATTTTTAACGCGTCCCGTGCTTGCTCTTTCTCTCTCTCGTGCGCATACACACACACACACAGAGAAACGATTTATCTGCAATTGCGATTCCTTTTCTTAGGACATTAGGGAGGCGATCGCGAGACAGGAGACGCGGAGGGGAGCAGAGACGTAATGCGATTAAGGTCGTTATCAGATGTCGCTTCCACTTCTCGCGTGATGACGTCGACATTCGCGCTCGTTTGTCATCGCGTGACGTCGTCACGGGGGTTGCATGATTTACTTCCGTCTTTCCCCTTTTCGCACCCTCCTCCTTCTCCTACTCCTTCTTCTCCTTCTCCTTCTCCTCCTCGTCATTTCGTCCATTTCTTTTTCCGCTTTTCGCCCACCTCCTCCTCCTCCTCCTCCTCCTCCTTTTCCTCCTCCTTTTCCTCTTTATCTTTTTTAACTTCGTCATAGTAAACTCCTCTCAAAGAAATAGGAAACGTTAAGTTGAAGATATGTAAGAAGAAGTAACGAGAAAAAAATGATGTTATATATTTCGAGATATAACAAGATTTTATTCCTACCCTAATACCCCTCCCCATTCTTTCAGACACATTTGTATTTTTATTCTTTTTTTCGAAATATTTATTCGAATTTATTGGTCCTGGGTGTAACGTTATTAGTTAAGGATAGTTCGCGTGTTACACGAAGTATAAATGAACATCCGAAAATCATTTAATTCGCCCTTCCTACACTTCCGACACTTTTTCGATTCGGACGAGGACGCGTTAAAGAGTCCAACATGGGATCATCGTGTTGTCCTTGGTTCTCTTGTTAGTAAAGGGACAATGAATGGAAGAGAGAAAGAGAGAGAGAGAGATGTTCTATCATGGTCAGAATTCGTCGTAAAGAGGGTGTGGCTCCGAGATATAGCGATGATTAGAAGCTACACCACCCCCCTAAGTTCTCGTACGAGAGTTCGAGGGTGGATCCGGAAAATTCATGGAGTTACTTAGGATCTCCGTAGCTCAATCGTTTATCTTGCGACTATGGGCTCCGAGAAAAAGGGGAACAGGAAGAGAAAGATAGAAATAGAGAAAGAGAGAGAGAGAGAGAGAGAGAAAGAGAGTGAGAGGGAAAAGGAAGTCGTTATGTCGTCGAGAGGCCACACCGGGGTCGAGACGATAATCCTAATTAATAATTAATTACCACCGGAGACACTCCCGTACTTTTGTACCCTCCATTTCTCTCTCTCTCTCCCACTCTCTCTCTCTCTCTCTCTCTTTCTCTTACTCTTTTTTTTCTTCTGCCCCCTCTCGAACCGGAGAATAATGCTCGATTGAATTCTTCCTGCTACGGACAGTAAGTTATCCTAATGTATTTTAATTAAATAAGATCCTATAGAAATTTGATTGAGATTATTTTTGTTTGAATTTCTTATTTTTAAATATTAATAAATTAATATTAATTTAATACAGTTTCCTTGATCCAATTTGAAGATTACGATAACTACGAGAAAACAATTGGAAGGAAGGTTTGACGATTATTTCTCATTGTTGATCGATTATGTTTTTTTTGCTTTCTTTTCGTGTTATTAATAAAAACAACAATGTGACAGTTAACGCGTCATTTATCTATATGCATCGAACATCTAATCAGTTTAAAGTTATGCGTTCAGGCGTGACGACGCGAGTTTGTGACGTTTATAAAATATTATTTAACGATAATCTTTTTTCGCATGAATTGTTGTTGTTTTTTGTTATTTTCAATCATTGGCGCGATAACACGTTCATTTACCTTTATTCGATTCTCTGACGGGATTGGTTTCCTTCTCATCGAACTAATGTCGAACGTGGACGTATAGTTTTAATCTACGCCAATGTTCGCCGAAATAAAATGCTTTTTACGATCATCTCTCTCTCTCTCCCTCTCTCTCTCTCTCTTTCAATCTGTTTCTCTTTTTAACTCTCTTCTTTTCAGTATAAGCGTTCACCGAGCAGTAAATTTCATCGAACGTAAACGCAGTAAAAGCTAGCACGGTGGTGGTGATGGTTGGTTGGTTGGTTGGTAGGTAGGTTGGTTGGTTGGTGGTGGTCGAGATTCGAGATCGAAATAAATAACCATTTGGACTTTTCCAAACGTCGTCGTCGTCGATGAGAGAGAAAACTAGCTCATGTATCTTATAAAACGTTTGCAAAGGAAAATGTGTGTGTGTTTTAAAAAAAAAAAACCAAAATAAAATAAAATAAAATAATGAAAATACAAAAATACAGTAGTAGTGGTATACGCGAGAGAGAAAACACACGAGGTAGAGAAATCGCTCGAGTTTTACGAGATTTCATAGTGAAAGAGAATGAGAGAGCTAGAAAAAGAGAAAGATAGATAGATAGATAGATAGAGAGAGAGGAATATACGAAGAAGATACGAGAGTCAACGACATTGCTTGAGAAAAAGAGATAAAGATAGTAAGATAGATAGAATGAGAAGATACTCTTTCTCTTTCTTTCTCTTTCTTTTTCTTTTCGCTTCAGGAGCCTCAACCAACTCGAGATTTTTCTTTCGTACGGTTCTTTCTCTCTCTCGGAAAGTTGTACGCGTGCGTCGGTAGTACATGGCGGAGTCTCGAACCCCCCAGGAGCACCCCAGTTTGTCAAGTCGACCCTTCGGTGTCGCTTACAAGACGGCAAATTTGTCTCAGATAAGCAAAACAAACACATCGCGGTTGGATGAGCCGCCTCCATTCGTCCTCCTCGTCGTATTCGTTTTCGTCGTCTACGTCCTCGTTCTCCTTTTTATTTTATTTTATTTTTTTTCTCTCTTCTTTCTACTTTTTCCCTTTGTATTTTCTTCCTCTCTTTTATTTCGTTCCCATCTTCTTCTATTTCTTGTACGTTTATACTACCTTGCTGGCTACTTGCCGTGTTCCGCTTCGTTCCATCTTCTAAATCTTTTTCTTATTCTTTCTCTTTCTTATTCTTCATCTTGTTCTTTACATTCGTTTACTTTTAAAACACACAACGTTTAGCGTCACGACGCGGTATCACGCGTCCCATGACATTTTTTTGTTTGTCTTTTTTCATTCTATACTTTTTCACGATATTTTAATGAACGATCAATCATTAATTACTTCGAAG